AACGAAATGTAGCACCACTAGAGATAGGGGCCATTGTTTAAAACCCACGACATAAAGCAATGACTGACCCCTTGAAACAAGCAACAGGGGTCACAACAAACAAGTGTTGTTTAAGTGGGTAACTAAATATACAGTCCACTGAAATAATATATTATAGCTTTAACACAGAACATACACCACTTAGGCATATACTTCAGCTAGTTTTCTGCCTCTACATCTTTTCCTCTTGTGAGTGTACCTCAGTACATGACAGCTGGTTTGTGTGGCTGTTTGATGCTGGTGATGAGCAACACACCACAACACTCAGTTGGCAGCTTTCCTTTCAGGAACCTTGAAGTCTCTTGAGGATTTACATGAAACACACTGACTGAAGAGAGGATTATTTTTGGAAAGGCTGGTTATACTGCATTTAGACATATCCTGGAAGACATAAATATTGTTACATTACATAAATACTGTTACAAGTCCATAGGTAGGGAAGTATACACTTTCTATGAAACTGTGCATAAGTGTTACGTCAATCTTCGTCCTCAAGCATTCATTGGTAATCACATACCTGTTCAACTCAATAACTCTACATACTCCAGATTATTGGCTCTTGCTAGTAGTACCTATAATAACTGATGACAGTAAATGCTCATTTTCGATAAAATGAATAGCGCTAGATGTCACGATAATATTGTTTTGACAGCCAATGTTATCTTTTGATGATAGCATCTATAAAAGCTTTGTGATTCATAGTTCTGTTACCCACATCAAAGCATTGCAACATCATTAATATCCCAATCTCTACTCTGCTCCTCAGAGACTGAGTGCCCCGCTCCCTCCCCAGGGCTCTGCAGAAAGTCACTGCAGCTCCTGATAATAAAACTCTGCAGTCCCCTTCAGTAGGCAGGCAAACCCCTCACTACAGCACCTGCTACTGACACCCTATAGAGAAACGTCTTTTCATTCTAGTAGCAAAGCAGCTGTAGTGAAGGGACAGCAACAGTAACGGGTACTACTACATTTTACATTTTAGTCATTTAGCAGACGTTCTTATCCAGAGCGACTTACAGTTAGTGAATGCATACATGTTTTGTTATTTTTTTTATTCTGGGGGGCCAGTACTACTAATACTACTGTACTACTAATACTACACTACTACTATTACTACTACTACTACTCTGACAACTCCAACTACTACTACTACTACTACTACTACTACTACTACTACTACTACTACTACTACTACTACTACTACTACTACTACTACTACTAATACCACTACTACTACTACTACTGCTACTGCTACTGCTACTGCTACTGCTACTACTACTATTACTATTACTACTACTACTACTACTACTACTACTACCACCCCCACTACTACTACTAATACCACTACTACTACTACTACTACTACTATTACTACTACTACTACTACTACTTCTACTGCTACTACTGCTACTACTGCTGCTACTACTGCTGCTACTACTTTACTTCTACTCCTACTAGCCTACTACCTCCACTGCTACCATAACCACTACTTAGTACTAATACTACCACTACTTCTGAAAGTAGTGCTACTACAGCTGTCATGATTAGACAGTGTAGATAGCATGGTTAGTGTGCAGTGCTGAGTGCTCATTGATGGCAATAATATCAAAGGACATAAATTAAACTTCTCAAATGGAGGCTGTCATCGCTGGATTATTTTATTGCAGCAGATATTGCAAAAAAAAATCATTAAAAAAAATCAGTTTTATGCAGCACAATATCCTGTGAAAGGTCAGATGAAGGCCATGGTCATTATATTTTACCAATGACAAAATTAGGCCAAAGGAGAAAACAGATATGGTAGAATTCCGAACACCACTCCCATCAGCTCACTGCCTCAGGACCCCAGAAGGCGCTAAGCCTGGGGGAACAGGTGTCCCAGCCTCCCCTCAAATACTGCTACTCTGTGTAGCCTTACCTAGAGGTTAGCTATGGTGCTGGAGGTCATGACCATTCATCAGCAGAAGCCAAAGGTGCATTCACATGTCAGTAACAAGTTACTTAGGGTAATTCACTTCCCAAGCAACCAGCAAGTGGTCTCGTGTCAAACACCAGAGAGGTTTTGTGGTGCCCTGGCTGAAAAGTGTTGTGGCTGAATGGAAAACTACTTTGTACGATTACATTGAGGTCCTTTTTCAGTCACCCTGGCTTGATGGCATGGGAGCTGGGTATCCTGTTTAGTAGGCTGTTTACAGACACTTGAAATCACAGGAAGACATTGTTTTGACTGCTTAAGAGTGTTTGGTTTTCTTTTGGAGCGGGAACCCTGACGTTAACTAGTTCAGTTCCTAATGAGTTTTTACTGAACTAAGGTTGTCAAATCTACCCTTGGCACATCAAGGCTAATTACCACAAAAACATAGACTAAGTCTTATACATTGCCTTGCAGTATGACACCAGGAAATGTGAACCTGATCATAGAAATGTCTATAAAGGAATCAAGAGAACATTCAGCCCTGTGTCATAGTACATGTCTAAACCATGTTCAGAGGACTTGTATGTAAGTCTAAAGAGCAGACATGGGCTGGCGTGCGAGACTAGGTTTCATCAATAATGCATGAAGACAGGAAACCGAGATAAGACAGGGTGCAGCCAGGACATGATGACGTTTAACCAACATCACATGTTTCTAACAAAACCAGCCGTTTCATGTAATTTACTGCCGTCACACCTGGTGTGTACTTCTAAAACAGGTCTAAATTAAAATGTACAAGCAACCGGAAAAACATTAATGTATTGTTTTTGACTGGAAGATGCACCTCTTCCGGTCAAAAACAATGCATAAAAATAATGTTTGGTTGCTTGTCCATTTTTATTTAGACCTTTTTTGGAAGTACATGCCGGGCATGATGGCAGTAAATTACGATAGTTGCAGGCAGTGCAGGCATATTTGGTGTGTAAAGAACATATTTTGATATTATAACGCTTGCAGAGCTGTCTAATGGGAAGATGAATGGAAGCTTTCTTGGCAGAGAGGAGATCTCTTCATATTCATCGTCTCCTTTGCCCAGATACTGGTTCATGCAGCAATATGCCTGAACACCTAGCCTGTCATTAAACCTCATCATCATTGTCACATAGTCTATAATCATAACAAACTGCCATGTGAAAGTGCCATTGTTGATAACGTAATGTGAAACAAGACATTTATGATGACATATATGCAAGTCAAGCATTATAAGAGAGTAATGTTTAGATCCACTCAATACAGTTGATATTAGAGCAGAGGGCCAGCGCCAATCCGTAACAGGCCATCCATGACAAGCTGTCCATATTACCCAGACCCCTAGGCCTTACTCCTTATAGTCCCATGACTGTTGCCTGTGGCCCACTTCTCAGACAGCAGTCAGTCTCCAGAGACACACAGAAAGCCTTTACATTTCTTTCATCATGTCGCGCTACATCTCTGCCATGTGGGATTAATTGCATGTCTCGGCCCTGAAGGCAAGTGGTGTTTTATTGAAAGCTGTTGAATTGAATGTGTTTGGTTGACTAAGCAGTGTCAGTGGTCTTTGATAAACATAACACTGGAAAACTGGAATCAATATTCCAGTCAATCAATATCATTACATCTCATGCATTAGTAAAAATAGACTTAATATAGTTATACGTGCAAATATTATTGCTACAGTATGTACAGGCCGAATCTCAATGGGGCTTGATATGAGGATGGGTTGGCTATAAACATCCTTAAAAAAAACACAAGTGAAATAGAATTTAGAAGTGACATAGAATTGAGCATTTAGCCCTAGATCTGTGCATCTGGAAAAGCTTGTGGAAAGCTCTGTCCAAAGGGATAAAATAGGCCATGTTGAGAGGATTTGACATTTCCCACTGTGCCCAAATGTTAAATGTGGGCAAACCAATCACAACATCGCTCATTCAATTACATTGGCTGATACTCTAAGTACACATTGGAAATGAATCCTCACATGTGCATGCACACGAGGGCCTTAAGTAAGAAACATTTCTTGACATTTTCTGCCCCACATAGAATACTCACTGTAGTGACAAATCATCTAGTGGTGAAAATGTAATAGCTACAACTGTGCTGCTACTAGCAGCTGGTTCTGCAGATGATGGCATTGTCATCACAAATACACTAGACATCCTGCTGCTATAATACTGGCATAACAATGTCAATGCACTGTGGCAAATACTATAGGTCTCTGTTCACTGCGAGTGACATACAGTCATGCAAAATTGATTGGATCCATTGAATGTGCGTATTTCACCTTAGATCATAAAAATTGTGCGTGCGTGCGTGCGTGCGTGCGTGCGTGCGTGCGTGCGTGCGTGCGTGCGTGTACTCCTCTGTGTGGGAAACAACATCCTTAATGAGCCTAAACATGGCAGGTAAAGCAGACATTGCACTCTGTCTGTCCTAGCCACCAAGATGGAGCCAAAATGACTTTCCTATCCAAACTGCCTCAACTCCCAGCCTTTCATCCAAAGCCAAGTAGAGACATTCAATCTCCATCTCTACCATCTCAATTTAAATTTGTTGGTTTAGCTTTTTATGCACTTTGAGATTATCTTATTTAATGAAAAGCGCTATACAAAATGTATTATTATTATTAGACTTGTCTGAGACAGCCCATAAGGGAGAATGCTTAAAGTCAGTATTGCTGTTACTGTCTGTTATCCAACACCTGGGTTTCCTCCTGCCCTATGTTTTCCCTAGAGCATAAATTATTTGGCCACAATAGAAGTCACCTGCACCACGTCTCCTGGCTGACCCATGTTCCCACAGGCTTAGCAGAAGTAGTGCTCTGAAAGAAAAGTCTGTAGTCTAGCATCTGACCCAGACGTGCCTTAGCTCAATGGGTTAGCAGCACATAGCAATGATGTTGTTACGCAAACCAACCCAGCTAGACTTGGGTTTGGTAACAGGCGTTGCAGGGCAGGGACAGCCAAGCCAAAGCCCGGGTGGGTGTTAGCTAGTGTGCATACTGTGCAGTATGGACAAGTTGGTGGTCAGAGGCGCTCGCTTTGTGTTGGATGTCAGTGTGTGGATATTGAGGAAGAAGGGCTACATGCTGGGGATGATGAGCTCTGGACAGGGATGTGTTCAGACATGTGTCCTCCCAGGGGAGCTCTACCAGGTACAGCAACATTCTATAGATCAGTAGGAGGACTTCATCTGGTCAATCCCATTCTGCAATTTACAATACAGGGCTGTTAGAGGCCAGGGCTGGTGGAGGTGTGTGTCTTTGTCTGCTTTAGTGTTACCTGTAACTACTATATGTGATATTGAGACTGTTTTGTGAGCCTTAGCAGGTTGTATGCTTGTCGCAGAAACCTATATCTTAGTACTCCATGCCATAATTTGGTAGGTGGACACAGATTAGTCTGGTGTGGTGTTGATCGTTTTGGGAGTATGTGTATGTATTTTAGGTTTTTAAATGCTACAAAAGGCCAGATTCTGTTGGGGGAAGAGTGGGGGAAGGTGAGCAACGCTTGTTTCTAGTAAACTATACACAAAATGTATCATTTGACCAAATATTTAGGAAGAGGTCATAATTTCAAAGCGATTTAGTGATTTTGTTTAATTGGTGTTTGGGAAATAAAGATAGACATGCATATATATAATTTTGTTTGTATTTTACCCCCTTTTTCAATCCTGTCCCATCAGTGCAACTCCCCAAGGGGCCCAGGAGGCAAAGGTCGAGTCATGCATCCTCAGAAACATGACCTGCCAAACCACGCCTCCCAACACCCGCCCGCTCAACCTGGAAGCCAGCCGCACCAATGTGTTGGAGAAAACACTGTTCACCTGACGACTGAGGTCAGCCTGTAGGTGCCCGGGCCCGCCACAAGAAGTCACTAGCGCACAATGAGCCAAGTAAAGCCCCCCGGTCAAACCCTCCCCTAACCCGGACGACGCTGGGCCAATTGTGTGCCGCCCTATGGGACTCCCGATCACGGCCAGTTGTGATACAGCCCAGGATCGAACCCGGGTCTGTAGTGACGCCTCTAGCACTGTGATGCAGTGCCTTAGACCACTGCACCACAATATTTCATTCAGTACTGAAGTCTGCTTAACTTACCCTAACCTGCGGCTCAACTTACCCAATACCCGGGGTAAATTGTGCCAAGAGACCACTTTCTTTAGACAAGCTATGTTTTCAAAACTGTAATGTACATGAATTCTGATTATTTTCAGGGATACGCAACATACTGAAATATATGTAGATATCTTTGTTAGAAAGAATACAATATATTTCCCTTGATGGAGTGATGCTGAATGTAAAAAATGACTCAACTTACCCCACTCTCCCCTACAGAATGACTTCAAAAACCTTCAGAACAACAAATCCTCCTTGGGTTACCATAGTGCTAAATCCATGTGACAATGGAGACCTTGTAATTAAAAACAACATCAATTATTATTTCCTTAACAGGATTATGCTCTATGTCCTGTGCATTGCTCAATATGTGACTTTGTTAAAAAGAAAGCCCTTGCTTTCTAACACAAATCCCCTCTCTGAAGGCTGATGTTAGATTTTTGTCAATTTGCATTGACAGAGACAAGATTTCTACACAACTGAAATGTCCTACTAATGTCAATATTTGCATTTTCTAAGCAGGGTTGGTGTTGATTGACAGTATGAACAATTACAATACTCAGCATTTACTTCCTGTCCTCCATTGTAGATGACAGAGGGGAGACTCTGCCAGGTGCATCTCCTTGACGACAGGAAACTTGAGCTGCTGGTTCAGGTACAGGTACAATATCTTAAAGAATTTGATGAGATTATTGTAACAGTACTTTAGTTTCCTATGAATTTCAAATCATTTGGACCAAAAATAATAATGCCCTCAAATAAATAGGCCTAATGCCCTCTTCAAACAATCTCCTATTCCACAGCCCAAGCTGTTGTCCCGTGAACTCTTAGATCTGGTGTCCTCCCATTTTAACCTCAAAGAGAAGGAATACTTCGGACTAACATTTGTTGATGACAGGTAAGACACTGCTTATTTTGTAAGTATATTGGTGTTAAAGCGTACAGTGTCTGTGTGCATGTGCGTGTCTGTGTGTTTGTGCAAGTGTGTGTGTGAGTGTGTGCGTGCGTGCGTGCACTCAGTGGCGGTTGGTGCTGTTTAAGATTAGGGAGGAAAATAAAACATTTTATGAGCATGGTCATATTTCTATTACAGCATATTGGATGACTGTCATTCATGTTCCATTCACCCAGCTCAATGTAACATCGATAGGTTTAGGCTGCTTCATGATACTCAAATTTTCCCTATACCCATCATGAGGTTGCTACAACCTAGCCTACGAATGAACGTTTATAATGTAGGTGCACAGGTCGAGAGACATATTGGAGTAATCAAGGTGACAGACAGTGACACATTAAATACCACCTTGCACACTCATGTCTGCATCTAGCTGATCTGGGGTGTAATCATTAGTCCAACAGTTATAAACTAGAGTTTCTATTGGACAAATTCAGGTAGGTTTATCCCCGTTTCGTTCCGTGTGCTTCTGTTTAAGAAACGTTTTTCAACAGAATCGGTGGAATGAATAAACCCCTGATCACCCGCAGATCACACAGTTCACTTTCATAGCATCCACATACAGTTGAAGTCGGAAGTTTACATACACCTTAGCCAAATACATTTAAATTCAGTTTTTCACAATTCCTGGCATTTAATCCTAGTAAAAATTCCCTGTCTTAGGTCAGTTAGGATCACCACTTTATTTTAAGGATGTGAAATGTCCTTAAGCCATTTTGCCACAACTTTGGAAGTATGCTTGGGGTCATTGTCCATTTGGAAGACCCATTTGCGACCAAGCTTTAACTTCCTGGCTGATGTCTTGAGATGTTGCTTCAATATATCCACATAATTTTCCTTCCTCACGATGCCATCTATTTTGTGAAGTGCACCAGTCCCTCCTGCAGCAAAGCACCCCCACAGCATGATGCTGCCACCCCCGTGCTTCACGGTTGGGATGGTGTTCTTCGGCTTGCAAGCATCCCCTTTTTCCTCCAAACATAACGATGGTCATTATGGCCAAATAGTTCTATTTTTGTTTCATCAGACCAGAGAACATTTCTCCCCATGTGCAGTTGCAAACCATAGTCTGGCTTTTTTATGGCGGTTTTGGAGCAGTGGCTTCTTGCTTACTGAGTGGACTTTCAGGTTATGTCGATATACAGTGCCTTGCGAAAGTATTCCTATTTTGTTGCCTTACAACCTGGAATTAAAATGAATTTTTGGGGGGTTTGTATCATTTGATTTACACAACATGCCTACCACTTTGTAAATGCAAAATATATTTTGCAAACAAGAAATAAGACAAAAAAACAAGAATTAAGACAAAAAAAATGAAAACTTGAGCGTGCATAACTATTCACCCCCACAAAGTCAATACTTTGTAGAGCCACCTTTTGCAGCAATTACAGCTGCAAGTCTCTTGGGGTATGTCTCTATAAGCTTGGCACATATAGCCACTAGGATTTTTGCCCATTCTTCAAGGCAAAACTGCTCCAGCTCCTTCAAGTTGGATGGGTTCCGCTGGTGTACAGCAATCTTTAAGTCATACCACAGCTTCTCAATTGGATTGAGGTCTGGGCTTTGACTAGGCCATTCCAAGACATTTAAATGTTTCCCCTTAAACCACTCAAGTATTGCATTAGCAGTATGCTTAGGGTCCTTGTCCTGCTGGAAGGTGAACCTCCGTCCCAGTCTCAAATCTCTGGAAGACTGAAACAGGTTTCCCTCAAGAATTTCCCTGTATTTAGCGCCATCCATCATTCCATCAATTCTGACAAGTTTCCCAGTCGCTGCCGATGAAAAACATCCCCACAACATGATGCTGACACCACCATGCTTCACTGTGGGGATGGTGTTCTCGGGTTGATGAGAGGTGTTGGGTTTGCGCCAGACATAGCGTTTTCCTTGATGGCTAAAAATATCAATTTTAGTCTCATCTGACCAGAGTACCTTCTCCCACATGCCTTTTGGCGAACACCAAACGTGTTTTCTTATTTTTTTCTTTAAGCGATGGCTTTTTTCTAGCCACTCTTCCGTAAAGCCCAGCTCTGTGGAGTGTATGGCTTAAAGTGGTCCTATGGACAGATACTCCAATCTCCGCTGTGGAGCTTTGCAGCTCCTTCAGGGTTATCTTTGGTCTCTTTGTTGCCTCTCTGATTAATGCCCTCCTTGCCTGGTCCGTGAGTTTTGGTGGGCGGCCCTTTCTTGGCAGGTTTGTTGTGGTGCCATATTTTTTCAATTTTTTAATAATGGATTTAATGGTGCTCCGTGGGATGTTCAAAGTTTCGGATATTTTTTCATAACCCAACCCTGATCTGTACTTCTCCACAACTTTGTCCCTGACATGTTTAGAGAGCTCCTTGGTCTTCATGGTGCCGCTTGCTTGGTGGTGCCCCTTGCTTAGTGGTGTTGCAGACTCTGGGGCCTTTCAGAACAGGTGTATATATACTGAGGTCATGTGACAGATCATGTGACACTTAGATTGCACCCACGTGGACTTTATTTAACAAATTATGTGACTTCTGAAGGTAATAGGTTGCACCAGATGTTAATTAGGGGCTTCATAGCAACCACTTTTCCGTAATTTTTTTCACCAATTTGGACTATTTTGTGTATGTCCATTACATGAAATGCAAAAATAAAAATCCATTTAAATTATAGGTTGTAATGCAACAAAATAGGAAAAACGCCATGGGGGATGAATGCTTTTGTAAGGCACTATAGGACTCGTTTTACTGTGGATATAGATCGTTTTGTACCCGTTTCCTCCAGCATCTTCACAAGGTCATTTGCTGTTGTTCTGGGATTGATTTGCACTTTTCGCACCAAAGTACGTTCATCTCTAGGAGACAGAACGCGTCTCCTTTCTGAGCGGTATGACAGCTGCGTGGTCCCATGGTGTTTATACTTGCGTACTATTGTTTGTACAGATTAACGTGGTACCTTCAGATGTTTGGAAATTGCTCCCAAGGATGAACCAGACTTGTGGAGGTCTACCATTTTTTTTCTGAGGTCTTGGCTGATTTCTTTTAATTTTCCCATGATGTCAAGCAAAGAGGCACTGAGTTTGAAGGTAGGCCTTGAAATACATCCACAGGAACACCTACAATTGACTCAAATGATGTCAATTAGCCTATCAGAAGCTTGTAAAGCCATGACATCATTTTCTGGAATTTTCCAAGCTGTTTAAAGGCACAGTCGACTTAGTGTATGTAAACTTCTGACCCACTGGAATTGTGATACAGTGAATTAAGTGAAATAATCTGTCTGTAAACAATTGTTGGAAAAATTACTTGTGTCATGCACAAAGTAGATGTCCTAACCGACTTGCCAAAACTATAGTTTGTTAACAAGAAATTTGTGGTGTTTTAATGACTCCAACCTAAGTGTATGTAAACTTCCGACTTCAACTGTACAAACAGCATCATCACTTTGCTCGTTGTATAATTACTTCTTGCATCTACGAGTTTTCCTCCTCTCACCTTTTCCCTTCGTTTGTGCACAACACAACAGCTGTCTGTGACCAGGCGAAAAAGCCTTTCGAAGCCAAACCTTCATACCTTAATCGCTAACCACTACACACAGCCTACATCATTGTCACCATATTAGCTAACGTCAAGTCAACATAGCTACTAGAGCTAACGCGTTAGTAAACCCAATACAATCACGCAGTACAGTGTACAGCAAGCAGTTTAGCAGTTACACTGGCAGGCCCCAGTGGCAATAAATTAATAAAACCGAAAGCTTACCTTGACTTGGAAGAGTTTCAGTGTTGGATAGCCTTATCCAGCTAACTAACATAAATAGCATTCCACTCTGTTTGAGCCGGGTGTTTGAGTAAGCTAAATTAGCTATCTGCATTAGCTAGCTAAGTAAGTGAAAGTAAAAGTTTAAAAAATACAATGAAAAAAATCTCTCTCTCTCTCTCTCTCGCGCTCTCTCTCTCTCTCTCTGCTGCTTCGCCTTGATTTTTAAAGAAGTAAATTAGTTCAAAACTGTTAAACTATTGTCTTTCTCTCTCTTTGAGTCAACTACTTACCACATTTTATACACTGTAGTGCTACCTAGCTGTAGCTTATGCTTTCAGGACTAAATTGATTCTCTGATCCTTTGATTGGGTGGACAACATGTCAGTTCATGCTGCAAGAGCTCTGAGAGGTTGGAGGACGACCTCCGGAAGTCGTCATAATTATTGTGTAAGTCTATGGAAGGGGGTGAGAACCATGAGCCTCCTAAGTTTTGTATTGAAGTCAATGTACACATAAAATAGCTGTCCTCCGGCTACACCATGGTGCTACCCCAGAGAGTGCTGTTGAGGCTACTGTAGACATTCATTGAAAAACAGTGTGTTTTAATCACACGTTAATATATTTTTATTTTTAGGAAATTCACTGAGTAGGATGGTCCTCCCCTTCCTCCTCTGAGGAGCCTCCACTGATATATGTATGGTTGTATGCGTCTTCCCAGTGCTGTTTGTTTATTTAACACTTTTCTTCATTGTCTCTTGCAGTGGCCAGTGTAAGTACTTGCAGTTGGACCGGAGAGTTCTAGAACATGACTTCTCTAAGAAGGCTACTGGGCCTATCGTCCTCAACTTCCTGGTCAGGTAGTTATTGCACCAGGTCCATATCTGTACCACATATCTACCAGTAGGGCACTCCTGTTATTGGTTTAAGATGATCATGATGGCAGTAGTTTTATTACATTAGGGAATATCTAGTAGTGGGTGCTGAGATTAGGGAATGTCTTACTGATTATGCATGTAATACGTACTTTATAATTAAATTCAACAAATAGTCTATGAAATTTCTTTGTACGTATCCCTGCAGGTTTTACATTGAGAGTATAACACTACTGAAAGACAACACGACGGTGGAATTATTCTTCCTAAATGCAAAAGCTGCCGTCTACAATGTAAGCTACTTATCTTATTCTGCTGTGTGTTGAGATAAATGGTGAATCACACTGATAACCTTTGGTTTCTCAAGGGTCAGGTTGCTGTGATTCACCATCTCATTGTCCCTCTTTATAAACCACCAAACCTCAGTCTGACTGTGGCCGTGAGACACTGTTTTGTTGGAATGAGATGAGACAGTGAGAAAGAGTAGATTGCTGATCTGTTTAGTCCAAGATAATTCTATTTTGATGTATATGTGTTAGTCATAGGAACAGAGCTCAGATACAGACATCTGCAACGTGTCTCAGCAGCCCATTTGTACATTAACACATTTATGATGATGCTTTATTTCTAACAGGGGGATATAGAGGTGGAAAGTGAGAATGTATTCAAATTAGCAGCAAACGCCTTGCAGGTTAGTTTCTTATTTGCTTGGGGTTTGTACTGTATATTAATTGGCCACTCTAAAGCATACATCTTCTGACATGTTGTTTTTATATCAATTCAGGAAGCAAAGGGGGATTACTCAAGGTAAGGATATACATTCGAATGAGTATCTAACACAACAGGTATCTAAGCAACAAGACAACATCACACATTTAGCAAAGGCCTTCAATATTGGAACTGTTTTTCCAGTCAAATCAATGACAGCAAAGGCAGTTATAAGAGGGAAGGCAGAGATGTTGTGTATTGTGAGGCTTGCCACGGTGTGTTGAAACCTCACACAGGCCTTCGAATGAGTATCATACCACTGACAGCTCAGGCAAAGGCTACTGCAGTCTGCAGGGCTGCATTCTAACATCATAGCTCTACCTCCTTTAATAAAGCTTCTATTGCAACAGCTGCACACTCTTTACTGTCAGGGAGCATTCAGTTGGAACAATAGACAGAGAATTATGGAACACTGTGGATCTTTGTCTGCATTTCCACCTGTCTCATTCCAAATTAACAGAAATTACAGGGGTTAGATGGCCAGAGAATGCCGCTTCAGTTAGTTCATTATCCATGCACCTGGAGCATGTCTGCCAATGAGGTTTCTGCACCTGTGGGTCAGGTCAGACAGTCTGACTGAATAGGGGTGATATCCTCCAGATTTTCCTGGGTTTTATATATATTTCCACACTATGAGGTTGGAATAATACTGTGAAATTGTGAAAATGATGATAATGCCCTTTTAGTGTAAGAGCTGTTTGAAAAGACCACCTGAAATGTCAGCCTGTTTTGGTGGGATGGAGTTTTGGCCTGCCTGGTGAAATCACCAGATGGTAAATGAGTTAATATACCAATAAGAAAGAGAGTTCCAAACCTCTCTGCCAACAACAGTTTTCAGTTTTCCCCTCCCCACAGACCACTCCCAAACAGTCCTAGCAAAAGTCTTATTTCTTTTAGATTGCTTTTATTGATAACAATCACAGTAAGGTACTTAATTGTTACTCAGAAACGATTTGATATTGAGATAAAAACAGCGGCATTGGACCTTTATTGTATTTCACCATCCACATTCTGTTTTATCATTATTATCAGTGATGAAACCACCAGAACGGATCTGAGGAAGCTCCCAACTCTTCCCAACAAGGTGCTAAAGGAGCACCCATCACTTACATACTGGTAAACTAACCTTGAATATGATGTGCATCCTCGGCAACTGTTTAGTTTACAAAACTGCTCAATAAAAATAGGTGCAAAAGCAATTTGCAGACAATTATTTATATCATTTAGCAGACACTCTTATCCAGAGCGACTTACAGTTAGTGAGTGCATACAATATTATTTTGGTTATTTTTTTCTACTGGCCCACCGTGGGAATCGAACCCACAACCCTGGCATTGCAAGTGCCATGCTCTACCATCTGAGCTACACAGGACCCTTTATGATGTATGATGCATTCCCGAGAGGGAGGAGGGATGCAGCCCATAATTTAGGAGTTGAAGGTGTCATCATAATGCATTTTTACAATGCTTTTTATAGTGAGGATCGAGTGATAGAGCACTACAAACAGCTGAAAGGAGTCTCCCGAGGACAGGCCATAGTGCAGTGAGTATTGGAAAAACAATGATCCCTCATTCCCTCTCACACACGCCTGTTTACCACAAGTCATCAGATAAAAAACATCAGGCCCTGGTTATCTCTCAGTCCTCCCTCTTCTTCTCTTTCTATCTCTTACTCCCTTTCGCACTCTGTTTTCTCTCTCACACACTCACTCGTTACTCTCTTCTTCTCTCTCTTTTTTCTTCTCTCTCCCTTACTCTCTCTAACTCTCTCTCTCTCTTTCTCACACTCTCTCTCCTTTCTCACAGCCAAGGTCTGATAGAAATCAATAACCCACTTCAGTTACTGACTGGCCAGTGAATCAATGTGATTCACTGTAGGCACCTTTAACATATCATGCTCTCATTGTCCTGTGTACAGTAACATCTATAATATCCCTGGCAAACCACCTTTTGAAAATTAAAGAGGGAGTCGGGATGTTACTGTAACACAAAACTATTTTTATTTCAGGTATTTGACTCTAGTGGAATCCTTACCCACATATGGTGTTCATTATTATGACGTAAAGGTAATAATACAGTATATTGCATTATGCACACAACAACAGCTATGGATTGCACTTATAAATCCTAATAAATCCAATTAAATCCAATTATAAATCAGATTTCTATAAGGGAATGGATGTATGCAGTTCAGTCATGAAACTAAGCTTTTGCCTTACAGGACAAGCAAGGCATTCCATGGTGGCTTGGGATCAGCTACAAAGGAATTGGCCAATATGATTTGCAGGACAAATTGAAACCAAGGAAGGTACAGTAATTTGTTTGTTTCCATTTGTGTTCTTCTCTACTTACAGTATGGAGGAGTACAGGATTAGTTTTGCATGGAGCTATTTTATTGGCACCATACAGCGGTCATTTTGCAGTATAGCCTTTACAGGCATATAGGAGATTCATTCTGCAGATAAGATGTCTGCCTGCTACTATAGTATTATATCTGACAGTGCTAAGAGCTTCAGCAGGCTGTTTGAGGAAATATTAAATGACAGGGCAGGGATAAAGATTCCTCCAGCACGTAGCACTATCATGATTCACTAACCTCTCACACACATTCATCACCTATTCCACTGATCGGGATTGGGCCCTCAATACAGCTGAAGCAGACAAGGCCAGACTTTCCAAGTGACAGAGTCAGTTTATAACGACTCTGTGATCAATCCCTTTCGTTAAACATGACCTTGGAGGCCTGTATTTCTTATATTTCTGTCTATCACTCATAACAGAGGTATGCCTGCTCAACTTTTACCAGATCATTTAATACATGTAGACATATTCATCATTCTGAGAATCCTACATGTAAAGTGTGTAACCCGCTCTTCTGGTTCAGTGGATGTTTTATAGCTTGCTGTTCCCCTGGACAAACACCAAGCTGTGTGATCTGCCTCTACAGGATCACGTAGTTAAGTTTATGATCTATGTGCGGATGATGCTGAACATTGAGATAAGAAGGAAAGCTGGTTAAGCAGACATTTAGTGTTGAGAGGAGGGAGGAGGGTGTGTATATGATGTCAAAGACAGAAAGGAAGGGTACTGGGTGTTACCCTTCAGAGTGCTGAGAGTGCCTGAGGAGACAAGTTGGAAGCAGAGAGAAGGAGTTGTTTGTGTTGTTTGAGCTTGACAAAAAGGATTAGAGACATCATTACTATAGAAACAGGAATTGTTCACTTACTGGACCTCTACTGGTAAGAGATGAAGCAACAGTTTTACATATTGGACGTTGACAATAACATTTTGTTAAATGAAAAACAACTAGATATATGATGAAATCATGCTTTATTTATGATGTGATTTTTGATGGTAGCACAATTTGGGTTATTGTTTTTTTCTGTCCCTGATATTTGGCAATAGGTACAATAGTGTTGGTAAATGTTACAGGTAGGCTAAAGCACTAGCTATAATAGGAGAGGTGTGGATTATAAAATCCAACCATTAGTTTGGGTCTGTAACAAGGCTGTAGCTGCCTGCCTCATGTGGAGAACCCAGACATGGTGATGAGTCATGCACCACTGTGGATTCTTCATATCTTGCTGTAAACAGTCAGCACCTGGAGGGGTTACCAAGCAATGTGATGAGCCATGGAAGCTGTTACACATTGTTATTTGTCTTTGTGGTATGCCCCTTGGTAGCAAAATGCAATTTACTCTGGACTAGCACCTGCATAATGCTATAATGCTATCATAGGCCTGACAGCCCTTGTCTGTTTCATGGCAGTTCAAGTCATAGTTGTGATTTAACTTACTTGATTAAAGGTTGCAGTTTGCTAGTTAGTACATCATGGGATGGAATAAGTGGGCATGTGTCATGACATAGCCAGGTCAGTGTGAGGTCATTGTAATATATCGGTTGTGATTCATCATTACAGATGCTTATGATTTAATCATATACCTTATTTGGGTACATATAAAGGTGTAATATGCAGGCTTTGAGAGTCATAGTTCAAGTAAATGTTTCACCAATCATTAATCAGTTGTTTCTCTGTGTCTCTCTGTGTTTACCTCCATAGCTGTACCAGTGGAAGCAACTGGAGAACTTGTATTTTCGGGAGAAGAAATTTGCTGTTGAGGTGAATGACCCTCACAGGTGAGGGCAAGTCAAACTATAAATATTTATCACAACTACATGTATTTACATTTTCTAGACAACTAAATAAGCTCTTCTTCCTGAGTCTAATGATTGTGTATGTATTAACTCTAAATAGGCGGGCAGTGACCAAGCGTACATTCGGCCAGACTGGCTTGGTCATCCACACATGGTACGCCAGCCACTCACTGATCAAAACCATCTGGGTCATGGCCATCAGTCAGCACCAGTTTTACTTGGACAGGAAGCAAAGCAAGGTACCATGTCATATTATCTCTTTTTAGTCCTGACCTAATCAGTGTACCTGTGTTCTGTACCTTCATGTGTCCCTATACCAACTAAATTAATAAATGTATTCATGTAGAATTAAATGATTATATTTACATGTAGACAGTGTAGGTCTGTAGTATGTATTCACCCCATAAATCCCTAATCCAGCAGGGTAAAATAACTGCAGCGAAAAGTTTGGGTGATATTGCCATGGATCTAACAGAACATGGAGGAGGAACCAAGATAACCAGACTAGGAGATAACCTAAAGCACAACCTCATTATGGCTAGCACTGGCAGCCTGGCGTCAACAGGTAGGTCAACATTCTGGTAGCTCAAAGTCTCTATTTAGCTAAATGTTTCTCTTTTGAAATACCTGAATAAAGGGCTTGGAAAAATATACCCCTATTTGAATGCACTTTGTGTTAGAAAAAGTACAACGAAAACAAGTGCATAGGCCTACGGTACATTTACAGTGTAAACAATGTCACCACTACAGGGTCGGCAGATTCAGCGGTGGACGAAGAACAGAAAAAGGAGAAGATCTCTGAGCTAAAGAAGAAGGAACAAGAGATCCAAGATGTCTTGACCCAGAAAACAAAGGAGCTGAAGAAAATCTGCTTACGAGAGGCAGTGAGAGGCCCATTTTTCTCTTAGACAATTACTTACATTGATTTATGAAGGTGCTAGGCTGATACTCTTAAGCAATTCATTTCAGTCAGGGTCAGTCAGTGAAACACCAGTCAATCTACTGTACAAATTGCTTTAGTTTGGGCAATTGAGACTATTGGAGTGAAACACTGTGTAACTGTACGAGCCTGTGTGCCACAGAGAGTGTCTGTTTTCTGTTTTCTCCCATTGTTTTCTGTAAAGCTAACTGACCTGGATGCTTTGTTGTATGTTTCCAGGAGCTCACGGGCAAACTGCCAAAAGAGTATCCCTTGTCTGCATGCGAGAGACCTCCTCATGTCAGACGACGCATTGGCACAGCCTTCAAACTGGATGACCTCTTCCCATACAACGAGGTCGGTATTGAAACTGCACTGTTCAGTATATGACATATATTTTGCTAATTATCTAGGCACCCAGAACCAAATCTCACATTCATGTGTAGCACATGGGGATGTGTGAAATGTACTCGTCAGCCTGAAGTGTCGCCACTTGCGTTGCCAAATTGATAACTTTTCGGTGGCGCCGAACTGGTAAGATGCTTCGGGAGGGCGGTCATGTGTGCTAGCAAGGCAGAGGTCCTGTGTTCCAGTCTTTGTGTGAGCCCAATCAGGAAGCGGTACCTGCTAAGCAAGCAGCGTGACGTCCGTTATACATGCTGGCCTTGTATAACGGACGTCTGTCACAAGACTAATATTTTGCAGAATATGACATAACATTCATTCCATGAATTCCTCAGGGACTTGAACTTAGGATTTTAGGATATTACTCTAAGCAGAGAAACATACAGTATGTACCGTGCACTGAAAAATAGTTTTTGTGTCATGAATGGAATGTGATGAAGTTAGGATCAGGTCCTGTCCTGTTTCGTATGGATCACGTGTTGATGAGTTGCCGGATGCATTTCCCAATACAGGCACATACTGCAAAATATTATGTTATGGCTACATTATGCTGTAATTTACAATTGGATATTGCATGTAAAGTGCTCAGTGGAAATTGAAATGGATCTGCCATTCTCTGCTGTAATAATGTCTATAATAATGTCTGTATTCTGATCTTTAGGACCCTTATCTGAGGAACCTGGAGAGCAAGTTTGCTCTGCAGCAGATGATCGTAGAGGCAGCTAAAAAGCTGGCCTCGGAGGCAGAGCTCTGTAAAACGGTGAAGAGGAAGAGAAGGAGGAACTGTCAGGACGCCATGAGGAAACTGCAGCAGGTTGAAGATGAGATGAACCAGTACAGAATCAAGAAGGGCAAGAAGCCTACCCAAAGAGCCTCTGTGATTATCGCAGGTACTGTAGATAAAGATAGACAAACACATGCACACACATTCCACTGTATGACTTTATAGATTTGTACTATAATCTGTAGTCTATAATATACTTTCCCCCTTCTTCCCCAGATGAATTTATCCATTTAGAGACCAGCTCCCTGTCAGACAGTAAGATTATGCATGATGGTGAGTGGGACACTGAGTTCAGTCATACAGTAGCTACATTACCTTTGTTGAACAGCTGCTTTACCAATCCCATCTGACCATGAGTTTTGTCTCTTGGTCCAGATGACTCTGATGGTGCTCAGAGGCCCCGGTCACGGTCTGTCCAGTGCTCCCCTCAGCTCAGCCCTGCACACTCCCTAGATCACCACAACAACAAGAGTCTCAACAGGTTAGCGTTTGACGGCCAGGATGCTTCACACCACTACCACCCCAGAGAGGTGTCATCCGCACACAGCAGCCCCTACAAAACCTTACCCAGACCTTCACGGGACCCACGCAGCATGCCCTCCACCCCTGTTATGACCCGCAACGCCTACAGCAGCAGCCAGCTCAGGTGAGACCCCCCACCCCCCCAGACCATGCCTAGCCAAACCCTTACCCTCTCACCCCGACACTGAACATTTAACCTGTACTGTTCTACTTTACCTCCATCCCACCGTTTAACAGAATCATAAGTATTTAGTATGCTGTACATCCATATTTCTTAACCATACTATTTGCTTGATAACCCTATAATTACATAGAGGTTTTTTTGTGTGTGACTTTTGCAGGTCGGATGGGAACTCTCAGTCCTTCAGGCACCGCAGTGGGAGTCTGGAGTCACAGCAACGGCTATTAAAGGATACTGATTCAGAGAAGCCAGTGTTCACCCAGTCCCCTGCCCGCAGGAACAACAGCACAGTAGCCCTAGAGGACTGCTCCTCCTACACCAGCCAGTCCAGCTTGGACTACCCAGGCAACCCCCACTACTGCACCCTGGACTCTCGGACCCGCAACCATCAGCTGCACAGGAGGGTGGAGGTCTACGGTAACACAGGCAGTATGCCTAATCTGGTCCAGAACCATATCGGCTGTAGTGATACGTACGAGCCCCAGGCACACTACGCGCCAACTGCTTACTATGTGGCAGGCTACCCCTGTCCGGACATGGAGCCCTACTCCAACGGTGCTTACGTGTATGAGAACGAGATGGAGGGCCACTACAATGTCAACCCCTCCTACCAAGTCCACAATTACGGACACGAGCGATACAGGACCTACAGTAGTGATCGGGCGGACAGCCTTGCTCAGAACCCCTACGCTACCATGAGATTGCCCCGGACCAGACATGGGCCCCGCAATGAGCCCTTACAGAAGAACATGCAAAAGGCCCTGGTGGCTGAGCACCTGAGAGGCTGGTACCACCGTAGCGGGGGCCACATAGAGGCAGGTAGAGGTCTGTCTGGGTATGACTACGATAACGGCTCTCAGCTCAGCCTTGGATACCAGACCATGCCAGCCCACATCAGTCACTCCAGCCGAACCACCTCTTACTCCTCAGGTAGGGGTTGATCCTGCTTCTCCTCATACTGCAACAGGTCACCTTAGAAACCATACTCTGTCTGTTCACCCTCAAGTAACACAGAGGGACATGTTTTTTTCTGATCAATACAATTCAAACATTCCTAACATACTGTATGAAAATATTATTCTGTATTAATTGTTAGGGTTAGGGTTGTGGTTGAGGCTAGGGTTGAATCAGGATGGGGAAATGGAGCTAGGGTTAGGGTGTTATTCACCGAGACTCCCCTTTATGTGTCTGTCTCTTTAGTGCAACTAAAAAGTGTTAACTTTCTCTCTTTCTAGTTTCCTCATCAACCAGCACAGGAAACTGGCGCAGCCAGCTAACTGTGGGTGTAACAGACTATGATAACATGGCAGAGTCACCACAGCACCCTCACCTAGTAGCCCATAGCACCTACAACCGGAGCCCCACCCATACCAGGTGAGGACCTACCACAGCACCACACCTACATGTAGTCTTCTATATATCCTATAGGATTTTAGAGGAAATAGTAGCACTAATTGTGTGACCTAAACTAAGGGAAATAAAATGTTTCAATCAAGACCAGTCTTATTATTGGTTATTTAGCCAGCAGCATACCACCCTGCAGCCACCGCTGGCTTCCCTCTGAAGCTAAGCAGGGTTGGTCCCTGGATGGGAGACCAGATGCTGCTGGAAGTGGTGTCGGAGGGCCAGTAGGAGGCACTCTTTCCTCTGGTCCCCCAAAAATATAATTGCCCTGTGTAGGGTGCCATCTTTCGGATGGGATGTTAAACAGGTGTCCTGACTCTCTGTGGTCACTAAAGATCCCATGGCACTTATTGTAAGAGTAGGGGTGTTAACCCCGGTGTCTTGAATAAATTCCTAATCTGGCCCTCATACCATCATGGCCACCTAATCATCCCCAGCTTCCAATTGACTCATTTATCTCCCCTGTACAGTGGGGAAAAAAAGTATTTAGTCAGCCACCAATTGTGCAAGTTCTCCCACTTAAAAATATGAGAGAGGCCTGTAATTTTCATCATAGGTACACGTCAACTATGACAGACAAATTGAGGGGAAAAAATCCAGAAAATCACATTGTAGGATTTTTTATGAATTTATTTGCAAATTATGGTGGAAAATAAGTATTTGGTCACCTACAAACAAGCAAGATTTCTGGCTCTCACAGACCTGTAACTTCTTCTTTTTAAGAGGCTCCTCTGTCCTCCACTCGTTACCTGTATTAATGGCACCTGTTTGAACTTGTTATCAGTATAAAAGACACCTGTCCACAACCTCAAACAGTCACACTCCAAACTCCACTATGGCCAAGACCAAAGAGCTGTCAAAGGACACCAGAATCAAAATTGTAGACCTGAACCAGGCTGGGAAGACTGAATCTGCAATAGGTAAGCAGCTTGGTTTGAAGAAATCAACTGTGGGAGCAATTATTAGGAAATGGAAGACATACAAGACCACTGATAATCTCCCTCGATCTGGGGCTCCACGCAAGATCTAACCCCGTGGGGTCAAAATGATCACAAGAACGGTGAGCAAAAATCCCAGAACCACACGGGGGGACCTAGTGAATGACCTGCAGAGAGCTGGGACCAAAGTAACAAAGCCTACCATCAGTAACACACTACGCCGCCAGGGACTCAAATCCTGCAGTGCCAGACGTGTCCCCCTGCTTAAGCCAGTACATGTCCAGGCCTGTCTGAAGTTTGCTAGAGTGTATTTGGATGATCCAGAAGAGGATTGGGAGAATGTCATATGGTCAGATGAAACCAAAATATAACTTTTTGGTAAAAACTCAACTCGTCGTGTTTGGAGGACAAAGAATGCTGAGTTGCATCCAAAGAACACCATACCTACTGTGAAGCATGGGGGTGGAAACATCATGCTTTGGGGCTGTTTTTCTGCAAAGGGACCAGGACGACTGATCCGTGTAAAGGAAAGAATGAATGGGGCCATGTATCGTGAGATTTTGAGTGAAAACCTCCTTCCATCAGCAAGGGCATTGAAGATGAAACGTGGCTGGGTCTTTCAGCATGACAATGATCCCAAACACACCGCCCGGGCAACGAAGGAGTGGCTTCGTAAGAAGCATTTCAAGGTCCTGGAGTGGCCTAGCCAGTCTCCAGATCTCAACCCCATAGAAAATCTTTGGAGGGAGTTGAAAGTCTGTGTTGCCCAGCGACAGCCCCAAAACATCACTGCTCTAGAGGAGATCTGCATGGAGGAATGGGCCAAAATACCAGCAACAGTGTGTGAAAACCTTGTGAAGACTTACAGAAAACGTTTGACCTGTGTCATTGCCAACAAAGGGTATATAACAAAGTATTGAGAAACTTTTGTTATTGACCAAATACTTATTTTCCACCATAATTTGCAAATAAATTCATTAAAAATCCTACAATGTGATTTTCTGGATTTTTTTTTCTCATTTTGTCTGTCATAGTTGACGTGTACCTATGATGAAAATTACAGGCCTCTCTCATCTTTTTAAGTGGGAGAACTTGCACAATTGGTGGCTGACTAAATACTTTTTTCCCCCCACTGTAACTATTCCCCAGATCGTAGCTGTAAATGAGTATGTGTTCTCAGTCAACTTACTGGGTAAAAAAAGTATCATATTTTTTTCCTCCCCATGCACAATGGCAGGTACTCTCTCTTGTGGATGTCATCTCTGTTCACTCTCTGTGTGTGCCTGTAACGACCTTGAGCCTCAGGACCATCCTAGCATTCAATGTCACCACTTGCCACTATCCTTCCACCTGCTCTTCCTCCTCATGCATCCTCTCCTCTTCTCCACCTTCCTCCTGTTCCTCCTGCTCTTCTCATGATTGGACAGGTCATTTTGCTGTCAGATAGACTTTTACAGAGATTAAAATGTTATCCTTATCTATAAACAGTCTTTGATAGTAAGTGACATCAGTGTGTTCGGCCTGTTGGTGTGAAACTAAACCCCAATAACGAAGCAGTCTCTAATGAGTGTGGGTGTGTTCTATGTGAACTGGTGATCTTTTCACTTTCTTTCTCTCCTTTCACGAACTGTCCATCCTCAATCCTTATGTACATAGATTTCCCCCAGAATGGAATTTGTTGAAGAGGTCTGATACGATGCCGGTAGAGTCAGTAGAGATGTTTGGTGCTGTGGCCAATAGCACTGAGGAAGACCATTAGGCAGCCATTCAAACACAGAAGGGTGAGATGCAAATAGGCTGTAGTCGTGGTAATTAGTTTCCATCAGTGCCACTGTTTTCAGTTTCCATCTGCGTCTCATCATTTGTCATATTGAGCAATATAGTGTAGCTCCTTTAGTGGCGTGTCAATCAAGGTGAAATCAATATGTAGACCATCCATTAAATGTACAGCCAGAGCAGTGGTAACACATACTGCCAAGGCCCAACCCAGATACTTCTAGCTCATGGATGACCGTGCCTTACCCGCTCAATCAAAGATGTTGCCAAATTATCTTGGTCTTTTAGCAGGCTCACAAATTCAGTATGGCCGCGTCCCACTGGGTAAAAACTGATTGAATCAACGTTGTTTCCATGTCATTTCAACAAAATAATTCAATGTGATGACGTTGAATTAACGTGGGAAACTGATTGGATTTTCAAAATGTCATCAACGTAAGGGAATTTTGTATTTTTTTCGCCCAACTTTTAACCTAAATCCAATGACATGGTGAAATGTTTTGTTGATTTCACGTTGAATTCACATTGAATTCACATTAGTTGATAACTCAACCACATTTAAATCAAAACTAGATGTTGAACTGACGTCTGTGCCCAGTGAAATGTGAAGCAAAAGTTACATGACATCCTGTAGCTAGAAACCACACTTTCAGTGTCTAGCTTCATATGCACAGTTTACACACCACATCCTCCACATAACTCCTATAACCAGTAGTAGAATTCACCTACTTTTGCTTGCCTCTCATTACTGACAATTGTGATCCATATTAAGTGGAAAGTTCTCATTTCACATTTTACAGTCCTTATATTATTGCATGGCATGCTTGACAAGACAGTAGGAAGTTTGCTTATGTTAAATATCCTTCTTTCTAATAACATATTTTTCCATGGTGTGTATCCCTGGTTTGTTGTGTTCCATTTTCAAGCCTGTACTGTAGATTATAATCTCAGCTGTTGCAGCATGCAGGGGGTTTCATGCAGTACTATGCTATCCTAAAGTATGGGAGACTTTTATATTGACCTTGACTCAAATGTTTTTGTTTTCATCTCTTCATTACAGAAGAATATACATGGATGGAAATTACATGAGCATCCACTGAAGGTAAGAGGACTGGAATGAAAACTGGCACAATGACCCCAACACTGGAAGCACAGACCTCTGGAAGGATACCAACTAACCAGTCTGTACACATACTATGAAGCTCGAGAATGACTCTCCCATGTGCCTTGGACTGGATGGAGATCGATATTATTCAGGAAGACATGGATGTGGTGATGGCACATCTGGAAAACCAGCTTCATCGTTGTGAATATTGTGAAGAATCTACAAACAGAATTTGAAACCCTGGGTTACCTTTGACCCAAATATATTTAACCTATTGTATTATGACATTATACATATTGAAAATCAACTTGAATATCTTTGTAAAACATTTAGGTATACATTTTGGAGTTATTATTCACAAAATGTGATAACAAAAGAATAAACCAACCGTTGTTTAGTCCCAGGTTGTCAATCCATGTACTGACACTCTCTCTTCTCCCAAGTATGAATCTGACTGTACATGTTTATAGATTATAATTACTTGTGAATGTGTTAATGTGGTGTAAATTGCTTGCATGTGGAGAACGTAAACTTTTGATAAGTAGCTTTTCTTTTATGATGTAAAAATATGTGTCTTTGAACTGGATAACCCTCAAATAATGTTCCTTTATTTGTTTCTCTACATATTTCTACATTGTCCATGTATTGTTTGTCTTCTACTCTGAGTGAAATATCTCCCGTTTGGATTTGGGACATCAATAAAAACCAGTGTGACTTCTTTAGCCCTGGGTGTGATAAACAAGACCTTCTCTATTACACGCTACAGGGGTTCATAGTGATAACAGGATATTCCCATTGAATGTAGCGACCCCGTACACAGCAGATATTCTCATTTATATCAGCTGTCTGTTGTTGTGCATCACTTCAGTGAGATATTATTACATTTTCCAGGGAACTCTGGGGGATTGGGCGGAGCCCTCTGCGCAGTGGACCCTAGAATTCCTTCCCAGGCCTGTAAAAAAACAGTCCACCTGTTACTGTCTATCTCCCCCAATCAACTGCCATGCTGAAAGATCATGAAGCTTGTCGAGCTGACTCAAGCTGCTGAAAAAGGAATATGTTAGTATATCTCCCCTGACCCTCTTGCACCATAAATATTTTCCATGCGATCCTAGGTGTTTAATTTTAGACTTTGTCTGAGGTGTGAGCAGGCCATTTACCAGCTAGAGACAGAGCCAATAGCACTGTCCACTCGGCTGTAGAACTGTGCAGTAATTGTGGATATACTTTTTATCCTTTAGGTTGATTGACAAACAGTTTCTTTTGTCAGACGACTTCTAGACAGATATGTCCAACCAAAGGGACCGGGACATGGAGGATATAAATGAGGAAGACATTGATGAAGATGATATCCTGGCTAGCCTGTCTCCTGAGGAGCTTCAAGAACTCCAGAAAGAGATGGATGTTTTAGCTCCAGACGAGAGAGTACCGCTTGGTCAGAGACAGAAGGACCAGAAGAAAGAGAAGCCATCTGCAGAATCGGATGATGAAGAAGACATTGATGAAGATGACATCCTGGCGAACTTGTCTCCTGAGGAGCTGAAAGAGCTCCAGAAAGAGATGGACGTTATAGCCCCAGATGAGAGGGTACCTGTGGGTCAAAGGCAGAAGAGCCAGACAGAGAAGGTGCCCACAGGCTCTTTTGACCACAGGGGCCTGGTGGATTATCTATACTGGGAGAAGGAGTCCAAACGCATGCTGGAGGAGGAGAGGGTCCCTGTCACTCTACTGCCCAATAAGGTAAGAGATTACATATCCAATGGTCAATATACCATAGCTATAGCCTTCAAATAGGGTGGCAGGTAGCCTAGCGGTTAGAGCATTGGGCCAGAAATCGAAAGGTTGCTGGTTTGAATACCTGAGCCGACAAGGTGAAATATCTGTTGATGTGCCCTTGAGCAAGGCACTTAACCCTAATTGCTCCAGGGGCGCCGTACTACTATGGCTAACCCTGGAAAACAATACATTTCACTGCACCTATGCGGTGTATGTGACAATAAAACATCTTAATGTATCATACTGTATACCACTTTAATTATTATAACATTATAAACAAACATAATTAACTGACTGACTGTATGTTTTACAAGGCTAAGTTTATTAAATTAATGTACTAATTGTCTTCATCAGAAAACTATGGAAGAGGATGCTGAAAAGAAAGAAAACGCTGAACACATGGAAATTGTGTATGAGGTGCAAGAAGAAGTCATCGAGGTGGAAGCTACAGATGATGTTGAAGGAGAGGAAGTGATAGAGGAGATTATAGAGGAAATTATAGTGGAGGAAGAGGATGTGAAGAAGGAGGAAGAGGAGGAGGAGAAAAAGGACATGAACTATGAAAAGGTCATAGAAAAACATGAACATCCAGTGAATAAACATTTAAAAGAGTCATCGGATGACAATAGCACAAACACTGTAAACACTACCAGTCCCCTGCAGCCCCCTCCAGAGTTCACAGACAAGAATGAGGAGAAAGAGACTGAGAGCAGAGAGCAAAAAAAGAGCTCACAAATATCTGAGAAAGTAGAAACTAACACCACAGAGGCTCCTGAAGTAACAGAGATGACTCCAGAGGAGAAGAGGGCCTGTTTTGTCCCAGAGAAAGAGGTGAGGGTAATAAACAAACTAAATATTCCAACGCTGGCCCTTGGCAGGGGCCTTGGTGGCCTTGGTGGGGCCAAGAAGACATCAAGACCCTCAGGGAATGAGACAAACCTGGACACCACCCTGGATAAGATCCGCAACAACAACCCCACTATCACAGACGTAAACCTGAACAACATAGAAAACATTCCCAAAGAAATGCTTATAGAATACGTTAATGCCTTGAAGAAGAACAAAAACGTCAAAACCTTCAGTATAGCCAACACCGGTGCAGACGAAAACATTGCCTTCACCCTGGCCAACATGCTGAGAGAGAACCGTAGCATCACCACCTTGAACATAGAGTCTAACTTCATAACAGGGAAGGGCATCATCGCCATTATCCGCTGCCTACAGTTCAACGAGACGCTCACAGAGCTCCGCTTCCACAACCAGAGACACATGCTGGGCCACCACGCGGAGATGGAGGTGTCACGCCTGCTTAAGGCCAACAACACCCTCCTGAAGATGGGCTACCACTTTGAGCAGGCAGGGCCCAGGATGGTGGTGACTAACCTGCTGACCAGGAACCTGGACCGCCAGAGACAGCAGAGGAAAGAGGAGCACAGCAAGCAGCAGCAGAAGGAGCAGAAGAAGGTGTTTGAGATATACGAACAGGCTCTGAACCTGCCCCCGGGGCTGCTGGCGATGCTGGGCTACGTCCCTCCCGAAATCGTGGCCCTCATGCCGCAGCTGCCCAAGGGTCCACAGGGTCACATGGAACCCAAACCAGAGCCCTCCTCCAGAGTCCAGCAGTCGAACACTTCTCCACAGAATCAACACAAGCAGCTTAACCACACTCCACAGCGCAACCCCATTTCACAACAATCCTCCAGCATGGATTTGTCTGGTAACCCTCTAAGAGACATCCAGCTGAAGAGGACCCCCAAGAAACGTGACCCTTTTCTGGATCTGGACGACAGGAGAGCAGAGAGGCCGAACGTCCAGCTCAGGAAGACAACAGGAAAACAGAGGGGTACAGGCGTTGATGAGATGGTAGAACTGAAGGCCACTCTGAAAGATGTGATGAAGACACTGAAGCCTGTTCCTCGGAGGCGGCAGCCGCCCAAGGTGGATGTGACGCCCCGCGATGAACTGCTTAATGAGATCAAAAAGAGCAATGTGGCCTATCTCAAAGCCGTGAGTACAACTGATGATTCTCAGATTAGCACAGGGTCACTAACAGTCATAATGTTAGCTAACTTGATCTCACCAGCCGTCACATTATTTAGTTAGATGTCAGAAGTTGTCAACTGATTATTGCTTAATTTTTGATATGCATTGTGGAACTCTCTTGAACTGGAGAGAAACTTACAGTCCAATCAAGCTTGTTAGCTTTAACCCATATTAGACACACGCTAGCAAATATGTACACTAGATTTATAGTGTGAAATTCAAATTATGTGATATCTCTGTGTATCCTACACTGCCAATCAAAGCTTTCTCACAGCTGTTTCTGTTTGTGTAATGCATTACTCCTACAGGTGCCGCTCCCCAAAGAATTGGAATCAAGAGAAACCAGTCTCTTCAATCTCTGAGGAATTTACAACACCAGGCTGTGTTTGTTCAGTATGATGTGTTTAATCTCTTCCACTTGTAACAATAGTCTGCTTCCACTTGTAACAATAGTCTGCCTCAGTTCTCATGGTCAGGCAGAATAAGTTTTGTTCCTTGAGGTTTGAAATAACTTTTATGGTATTTGGATATGAGTCTACAGCTGGAAAATGCACCATAGAATGTGCATAGTAGGTATAAGTAGTCTCAATGAAGAATGTCTAAGAAAAAATAATTATGTTTGTTTGTGTAAAATTCAATCACTTTGTACAGCCCCAAGTCCATAATTGTCAGGTGTCAGTGTGCAGCGGTAGGACGGAGTCAGGCGCAGGACACAGAACTGAGTAACAGACAAACTTTACTCTGAAAGAAACAAACACTAATTCCACGTAGGGAAATACACCAGCTCACAGCAGTCATAAACACCAAACAAAGAACAATCACGCACAAAACCATGAGGGAACCAGAGGGTTAAATAGGGAAATAATGATAACGTGATGGGAACCAGGTGTGTACAATAAAGACAAAACAGAAACGTAGATCGGTGGACGCCTTGAGTCCATGATGGCTCGCACTGTATACGCCGGGGCCCCCTCGATGTCCAGCGGGGGCGGAGGAACCTCCCGTACCTCAGACTGCTGGAGCGGACCAGCCACCACCGGCCTGAGGAGAGACACGGAACGAGGGGTTAATACTCTAATCAGGGGGGAGCTGTAACCTATAACAAACCTCGTTCAGTCTCCTCAGGACTTTAAATGGGCCCACAAACCGCGGACCCAGCTTCCGGCAGGGCAGGCGAAGGGGCATGTTTTGGGTCGAGAGCCAGACCCGGTCCCCCAGTGCATACACCGGGGCCTCACTGTGGTGGCGGTCGGCTGTCGCCTGATGGCCCGTTGCAGGCGCACATGGGCAGCGTCCCAGGTCTCCTCCGAGCGCCAAAAACATTCATCCACCGCAGGTGCCTCGATCTGGCTCTGATGCCACGGTGCCAGGACCGGCTGATACCCTAGTACACACTGAAATGGAGACATGTTAGTGGAGGAGTGGCGGAGGGAGTTTTGGGCCATCTCTGCCCAGGGGATGAACGCCGCCCACTCCCCCGGCCGGTCCTGGCAATAGGACCGCAGAAACCTACCCACATCCTGATTCACTCTCTCCACCTGCCCATTACTCTCAGGGTGAAAACCTGAGGTCAGGCTGACCGAGACCCCCAGACGTTCCATGAACGCCCTCCAGACCCTCGATGTGAACTGGGGATCCCGATCAGACACTATATCCTCAGGCACCCCGTAGTGCCGAAAGACGTGGGTAAACAGAGCCTCCGCAGTCTGTAGGGCCGTAGGGAGACCGGGCAAAGGAAGGAGACGGCAGGACTTAGAAAACCGATCCACAACGACCAGGATCATGGTGTTACCTTGTGACGGAGGAAGATCCGTCACGAAGTCCACCGATAGGTGTGACCACGGCCGTTGTGGAACGGGTAGGGGTTGTAATTTCCCTCTGGGCAGGTGTCTAGGTGCCTTGCACTGGGTGCACACCGAGCAGGAGGAAACATAAACCCTCACGTCCTTAGCTAAAGTGGGCCACCAGTACTTCCCACTAAGACAGCGCACTGTCCGACCGATGCCAGGATGACCAGAGGAGGGTGTCGTGTGGTCCCAACAGAGCAATCGATCGCAGACATCAAACGGAACGTAAAGATGACCAACTGGACACTGGGTGGGAGTGGGCTCCGTACGTAACGCCCGCTTGATGTCCGCGTCAACCTCCCATACCACCGGTGCCACCAGGCAAGAAGCCGGAAGTATGGGAGTGGGATCCGTGGACCGCTCCTCTGTATCATACATCCGGGACAGAGCGTCTGCCTTAGCGTTCTGGGAACCTGGTCTGTAGGATAGGGTGAAAACAAAACGGGTGAAAAACATGGCCCACCTTGCCTGGCGAGGGTTCAGTCTCCTCGCCACCCGGATGTACTCCAGATTGCGGTGGTCAGTCCAAATGAGGAAAGGGTGTTTAGCCCCCTCAAGCCAATGTCTCCATGCCTTCAGAGCCTTGACAACAGCTAACAGCTCCCAGTCCCCCACATCATAGTTTCGCTCTGCCGGGCTGAGCTTCTTCAAAAAGAAAGCACAGGGGTGGAGCTTTGGTGGCGTACCCGAGCGCTGAGACAGCACAGCTCCTATCCCAGCCTTGGATGCGTCCACCTCTACTATGAATGCCAAGGAGGGATCAGGATGAGCCAGCATGGGAGCCGAGGTAAACAGAGCCTTCAGGTGACCAAAAGCCCTGTCCGCCCCAGCTGACCACTGCAGTCGCACCGGTCCCCCCTTCAGCAAGGAGGTAATGGGAGCCGATACCTGACCAAAGCCCCGGATAAATCTCCAGTAGTAGTTGGCAAACCCTAAGAACCACTGCACCTCCTTTACCGTGGTTGGAGTCGGCCAATTACGCACGGCTGAAATGCGGTCATTTTCCATCTCCACCCCTGACGCGGACAGGCGGTACCCTAGGAAGGACACGGACTGTTGGAAGAACAGACATTTCTCAGCCTTGACGTACAGGTCATGCTCCAACAGTCGACCAAGCACCTTGCGCACCAGGGACACATGCTCGGCGTGTGTAGCGGAGTATATTAGAATGTCAACTATATACACCACTACACCCTGCCCGTGCAGGTCCCTGAAGATCTCGTCTACAAAGGATTGGAAGACTGATGGAGCATTCATCAACCCGTACGGCATGACGAGGTACTCATAGTGCCCAGAGGTGGTACTAAATGCCGTCTTCCACTCATCCCCCTCCCGGATACGCACCAGGTTGTACGTGCTTCTGAGATCCAATTTGGTGAAGAAGCGCGCCGCGTACAATGACTCGGTCACACTGGCTATGAGTGGCAGCGGGTAACTGTACTTTACCGTGATCTGATTTATACCTCGATAGTCAATGCACGGGCGTAAACCTCCATCCTACTTCTTCACAAAAAAGAAACTTGAGGAGGCAGGTGATGTGGAAGGCCGAATGTATCCCTGTCCCAGAGATATTGGAGACATATGTATCCATAGCCGCCGTTTCTTCCTGTGACAGAGGATACACGTGCCTCCTGGGAAGTGCTGCGTCTACCTGGAGATTTATCACACAATTCACCCGTCGATGGGGTGGTAATTGAGTCGCCTTCTTTTTACAGAAGGCGAGAGCCAAATCGGCATAGTCGCGGGGGATGTGCATGGTGGGGACCTGGTTTGGACTCTCCACCGAAGTTGCACCTATGGAAACACCTACACACCTCCCTGAGCACTGACGTGACCATCCCTTCAGAGCCCTCTGTTGCCACAAAATAATGGGGTCATGATAGGCCAACCAGGGAAGCCCCAACACCACAGGAAACGCAGGAGAATCGATCAGGAAAATACTAATACTCTCCTCATGACCCTCCTGCGTTATCATATATAGTGGAGCTGTGACCTCCCTAATCAGGCCCGACCCTAAAGGACGACTATCTAAGGCATGTACAGGAAAGGGCACATCAACAGGGACAATAGGGATCCCTAATCTAAGTGCAAAGGAACGGTCAATAAAGTTCCCAGCTGCGCCTGAATCTACTAGCGCCTTATGCTGGGAATGCGGGGAAAACTCAGGAAACTCTATACAGACACACATGTGCGCAACAGGGAGCTCTGGGTGAGTCGGGTGCACCTCACCTGGGATGATCCACCAGTGCCCTGCCTGCTGCCTCGACTCCCTGGGGAACCTCCCCAGCACCGACCAGCAGTGTGCCCTCTGCGGCCACAGGTGGTGCAGGAAATGCCCCCCCCCCCCTCCGGTCACCCTTAGAGCAGCACCTCCGAGCTCCATAGGTGTAGACTCGGAGGTGCTGGGGGATGGAACGGACGGACCCCAATCCGAGCGTCCGCGGGTGGCCAACAGGTTATCCAGCCGGATGGATAAATCCACCAGCTGGTCGAGGGTAAGGGTGGTGTCTTGCAGGCCAGCTCCCGACGAACATCCTCCCATAGACTACACCGGTAATGGTCGATCAGGGCCCTCTCGTTCCATCCCGCGCTGGCAGCCAGTGTCCTGAAGTCCAGTGTGAAGTCCTGTGCGCTCCTCTTCCCCTGTCTGAGATGGACCAAGCGTTCCCCCGCCGCTCTCCCCTCAGGCGGATGATCGAAGACCGCCCGGAAACGGCAGGTGAAATCCTCGTAGCGAACCAACGTTGCGTCTATCCCTCTCCATTCGGCGTTGGCCCACTCCAGCGCTTTCCCCGACAAACAGGAGATGAGGGCGGACACTCTCTCGTAGTACGAGGGAGCCGGGTGGACGGTCACCAGGTAGAGCTCCACCTGGAGCAGGAACCCCTGGCACCTGGCAGCCGTCCCATCATAGGCCTTCGGGAGCGAGAGCCGGATCCCACTGGGTCCAGGTGACGGAGGGGTGGACAGCGGTGTGGGTTGAGGTGAAGTTGATGGGGGTGTGGGAGAACCCTCTCTCTCCCATCGATCCATGGCTGTGCCCAGATTGTGGAGCATCTTTGCGTGCTGCTGGACGCGCTCCTCCACCGGTAACGGAGGACTGGGTGCACCTGCTGACTCCAAATGAGGTGCGTGATTCTGTCAGGTGTCAGTGGTAGGACGGAGTCAGGCGCAGGACACAGAACTGAGTAACAGACGAACTTTACTCGGAAAGAAATAAACACTAATTCCACGCAGGGAAATACACCAGCTCACAGCAGTCATAAACACCAAACAAAGAACAATCACGCACAAAACCATGAGGGAACCAGAGGGTTAAATAGGGAAATAATCATAACGTGATGGGAACCAGGTGTGTACAATAAAGTCAAAACAAATAGAAAACAGAAACGTAGATCGGTGGCAGCTAGAAGACCGGTGACGACGACCGTCGATAGCCGCCCGCACAAGGAGAGGCACCAACTTCGGCGGAAGTCGTGACAATAATACATCCTCTACTGATGACTTGGATCTTT